CGTGTCAATCCACTTTACCGACGGGCTATTGGGCCAATCGAAGATAAAACGTCATGAAATCATTGCGGCAGCAAAATACTCAGCCAAAAGCATTTAAGTGCCAGAGTGAATAAATAATGGAACAAAAATGATTGAAGGGTGTCCAAAATGTCACCGTTTTAGCTGCAGCCCCCTACAAATGTTGAGCACAAGCGCAGCCCACTGGCAACTAACGCGATTTAATCAGCTGTAAATCCGATTAGCTGTTTACAAAACATGAGACTAAAACCATCGTCCGAAGAAGAAAAGCTGGAGATGTACATCCTAGAGAAGTTTATGTCTTAAGTCATCTATAAAGTACGAGAATCAATATGTCAAAATTTACATGTGATTATCATAATTTAGTGGTAAATTTTTTAAATTTTCATCTATAAAGTACGGGAATGAATATGTCAAAATTTACATATGATTATCATATTTTAGTAGTTACTTTTCTAAGAGGATAAGCTTAATGTTACTCAATAATGTGGCTTTAAACCGTTTCAGTTGCCGTCACGCTCCCATCGCTAGGCGGTGCGGCGCAGTCATGCAACGTTTGTGGCATGTATCGCAGACGGTTTACCTTATCGATTTCATCGATTAGTGATTGATAATGTGTTTGGCCTGCTTTTAGGCTGCTATTGTTGTTGTTGTTGCAGCTAACCTCATAGGCCATTATGCTAATTTGTTACCCAATTGATTTGAATTTCGTTTACGTTGCGTATACGCGCCATATGCTGTGCCATAATTAATTCCTTGTGCCCCAGCCGGCTAATTAGCATAAACTTAATTAATTTCCTTGTTGGGCCTTGGGACTTTGTCGCTCAGCTGATTGACAATTGCAAGTTCATGCCACAATTCAGGCTGACGCGGCGGCAACTAAGCCGCAAATCGTAGTCAATTGCAAAGTGCCTCCCTCCGCCCTCCCCTATGAATTCGCCTTGACACTCAGAGATCTCGGCACGGGCACATTGCTGGCGCGCGTATTTAGCATATCTTCAGTGTCACATTCGACCTTTGTTGTGCATTCATGGAGCACACATGTGCGCGTCAGATTCGCACCTGACTTAAGGCCATGGCAGCAACAACAGCACCAAAAACAAAATCTCCAGCAACCTTCAATCGTGTGCTGTTCCTGTCATTGTCACCGCTGGCTCCGGGACATGGCAACGATATTAGCATATAAGAAATCCGCTTCGATTCCCGGAGATATTGTGACACTCCTTGAGCCAATTATGCGGTACATTTCCCCGAATCCTATGTGACATAGATGAATTGGATAGGAAGCTGATATGTAAGATAAGATAGAGAGGAGTAGCATATTAAAGATAAACAAAATATTCTAAGAAGCATGTGAAAATTATACTTATTGTAGGAAATGTATCAGAAAAAAACTGTAAAAAAGTGAGGGCTGTTTTTGGCACACCGAAGTCTAAATAACCTTGGGGACATTTGGTTTAGAACTGCTTTTGCACAAATGCTTTATTTTTAATCAATTGTTAAGGAGCTAAGAATGTTTAATACAATATATGATATCGAGCAACTTTTATTCGACACGTCACTTTTCGTAAAAAGTTTAAATTCTCTCAATAAGGGCGTTTGGTCATACACGATATTTGTAAATATTTTGAAGTAGTAATATATTCTGAAATTTAACCGACTGTTGACATCAGTTTCATTAACAGATAATGTTAAGCTTACGCAAACGATCTTTATGCAATTTAATACATACACATGCACGAAGTGTCGCTCTTTCCGAATTCTGTTAATGCCAAGACCTTTTAATCTTACGTTATGTTAATGACACAATCAGAGATAAGGAAAGCGCTTCGATGCAAGAAAGGGTATATAGACCTTTACTCACCAGCAAAACTTTACGCTAAACAATAAATAAGTAATCTTAAATATGGGAATTTCAATGTTTAACAAAAAATATTTTGTAATCTTACCTTACTTATTCTAATTAAAGTCTTAAATAGCTCAATACCCTGTTAAATTTACTTTATATTCTATGTTTTCAACACATGACTTCTGATTAGCTAATGGATGTCGTTTGGCATTCCAGAATTAACCACTTTCCTAGCTGCTCTAATGAACACCGTTTGCTATCCATTAACCTTTAGCTTGCATTTTAGCCTCATTATAGTAAACCTCATCGATTGGTATGTACGGTCCGTTTCTAATTAAGTTCTTTCTGCTCCCCTGGGCAGCAGCAGGTGCGCACGTCTCATTAGCGTGGCCTGCACATAATTAACGCCACAGAGGCAAAATACAACGCAAATGCAACATCTGAGCAATCAGAGCATTTGAAATTATGACATTGATTACGAGATGAAAGCCATAAGTGCCCCATAGCCGTAGGAACAGTGCAAATAAATATAGATTCCCAGTTCGTGGTCAATACACAAAGGAAATGAAAACGCCTAAAAGCGCGCTTCATTAGGCTCGATGTGATGGCGATAAGGGGAGAGAAAAATATTGACCCGTAGAGTTCCAATCAGGTAAAAATAATATGAGCCGACATTTGTTGTCCTTCAGTCTTTAATTTAACATGGGCCATGGCTATCACAGACTATTATTCTTGACCAAATTTCAGACGATATATTTGCCAACTCAGTACGAATGCTGACGCAGCATGACGGTTTAAGCTTCAGCATAACAAATATATCTTTATAAATATATCTGTTTGTATATGGACATGTGCATTTTCTATGTAGATTGCCAATCAAATTATTTGAAATATAAAATATTTAAATGCGCTGCAGCCACTCTGGGCAGTCGGTTTTGGCTAGTACAGGGTGTTTCGTTAAATGAAGGGCCACTTTGCGTGATTGTTGCTCAAGTGACCACCCTGTATGACCCTGTCTCTGCTCGTGTATGTAGAGATTTTACCTTTTTTGTAGCTTCCACTTAAATATATGAGCATCCATATACAATTCTATGCATGTGCGGAGCATGTGCAGCTTCCCAGCTGGACCCAGCTGTACCGAATCATGGTTGTTAATAATGCTGATGATGAGCCTGCTGCTGTTGTTGCTGCTGCTGTTGGGTAGGCGTTGCCTGTTGTCCGTGTATTGATGAGAACTCAATAATTCAATGCAGCTGCTTGGGCAGTCATTAAAGGCAGTGGGCAAAGGGAATGTTCGACTGGTAGAAAAACGACTCGAGTGGCATGCTCGGATATGCGAATAACTACATCGAAAGGTCGCTTATAATATGGTTATGCATGCTTTTAGGCGCACAAGGCCATGCCCCTAGCGAGTGCCAGTGTGGCCAGTTAAAATGCTGCTTCTCGTATGCTCTGCTATTAAATTTATCGCTGCACAGCAACAGCTGTACTGCGACACGCCCACAAAAGGGCAACTTCAGTTGTTTATTATGCATGCATGTGGTGCCACACACACACATACATACAGAGACCACAGTGCACAGCATCCTCGCTTTTAAACTGTGCCAAGATTATTGCTCTATTTTGCGCTTCAATGATTTTGTGCGCCCCTTCACAGCTTGGCAAAGTCTAATACATTTGAATCGATGTGAAGGTATTTGTATGTGTGTGAGTGTGAAAAAGCGTCATAAAAGTGTCATAAATGTTGATAAGACATGTTTGTCAGGCGCCTTTCCAGCACCTGCTCACCTGATTGTTCAAAGACTTGCGGGCATAGGGAACCTGCTGTCGTTTGCCAATTTGCTTGGGCTGATGATAAATGCATAGCCTGGCATTATACAGATTGTTTTATTAGTTATAAGCGAAAGCTTGCATAAAATAGCATGCTTGCTAGTTTAGTGCGCATAAAATTGTGTGGATTTGTGATTTACTCAACAATTGTTAAGCCTATTACAGCCAGCCGTATTTCTCAGCTCTAATCGAGCATGACTTGGTAGCTATGCAAGAGTATTTACTACAGCGAACGATTATTTAAGTTAATAATAATAACAACAATAAAAATGCAAAAGCGCTTCGTTACCTTTGCTTAAGCCGCTAACAGCTACTGTCTGAGCTCATTTATATCAAATTGTGACAGCCATTTGCAGCAGGGCCAACACGCATGATTGCACTGGTCAGTGGCCATTTGTTACCAGCAGAAGGCCGCATCTGCCACTGTCACTGATGGCCTCAATCAAAGCTCTCATATGCAGTGATGTGGCCTGTCAACGCCACGCAATGGACAAGCTGATGAACCCCCCCGCAGGACTTCCGCTACATTGTGTCCACCTCCTCAGCAGGCAGCCAACTCTTTTGTCTTTCAGGCGGAATGTGCCGCGGTGCCATCGACAGCTATGAGTGCGCAAATTATGGAAATGAAATTGGCTTTTGGCCTTACAGTCGAGTCGAATCGAGCTCATGACCATTCGGTGGTGTTCAAGCAATCAAAAATATAGCCAACTTATGATTATGTAAAGATGGGCATGATATGAAAATATGAAACTATTAAAGACAGTTAAACAAATAAAGAAAAGAGAGCTTTTTATGAACGTGACCGACTGGGAGATACCATTTACCATTCAAAATCAATATAAGCTGTTTAGCTAATTTAATTCAATTAAATACTTAAATCTTTGGCTTAAAAGGAAGCGTCCGTAGTCTTGATAAATAATATTGTTACTTTATAAAAGAGCTCTCTCTTCCAAACAGTCCACCTTGTATTGGATACAGGGTAACATGAGGTCTAGCACGCTAAAACATTTTGAATACATAAAGAAGTGTGGCAACGAAGTTGTATGAAAGTAAGTGAAGACATTTAGAATGGGCTATAATATAAATTGCGATAATAACGAGACAAATTGGATTATATTATGTTAAGCAATTGGTGTAACAAGCCAAAAGCTGTGGTAGGTCAACTAAACTTTTACAAGGGAACGTTGACATGTCGGTCACAGCTGAAAATGTTCAACAAAAACTCTTGTCAGCACGGCGTATGCATGATATGCGGTTGTCCAACTTTCAGATGAAAATGCAAGCACATAAACAACTTTGCATAGAAAACGTTTTTAATTTTTACACAACTCTGACCCAAAGGTAATACAAAATTAGTTAAGAAAGAACAAATTTAAATGCTCGCCTAGGTTGTGAACATTGCGAAGCTCCTCGTCGGGCTCATCGGCGAACAGGTGGAGAATGACACCGCAGCGTACACATCGGACTAGCACGTTGGCCAATACCAGCATCTTGAAGAAGACGGCCATGCCTATCTTGCTGTACATGCAATCGGTATGTATCTCGTCGTTCAGTATAATCCGCATCAGATCCAGTCCTATGGAGTACATGCTTGCCAGCCAGCAGAAGCTGAAGAGCAGCAGGTAGGGGCCAAAGTATAGCAACATGCGCTTATTGTAGGGTATCTTGCCGCCGTCCCGTATGTTATCCCGCGTGTTGCAGAAGTTGCAGCGACTGCACTGGTAGAGCCGGAACAGCACCATGAGCATCACCAGAACTACGTAGCATTGCGTCTGGGCATCAAATGTGAGGATCGATGCGTAGGTTATCCAAAATTTGAGATGCTGCACCCAAAAGAACCACTTCGAATGCTCGTTCACCACCGGCACCACAGCCGCCGCATGAAGCATTATCCACAGATACGACAATGACAGAAAGCAGCGCAGCAAACACATCATGAATCGCGTGTACTTCCAGCTTTTGTACAGCTGATGTGGCATCCTTGCAGAATAATAACTGCTTCAACAACCAACTTTATATTTAAAAACAAACCTATTCTTCGTTTCGTTGGTATACTAGACACAAATACAGATATAAATACAAAGGCCTACTATCGATAGTTTTGAATGATTATTTTCTTGGGTATACTACATACATAGCCAGAAAAAATCATCACAACTGATAAATGGCATAGAATTCCAGTTGTCCGTTAAGCATATGCAACATTTTCTGGAAGTTAGATGGAATTGTGCAGAGTTTAAGCAACAAATGCGGTGTTATTGATCCGTGTATATAAGCTCAAACCTACATTTATATATATGCATGTACATAGAGAAACACATTGCGTATACGCGATGTGTACAGGTGTTCATTATTGCTTATATTTGTTTCTTCATGATTTTTTTTGTGGGTCAAATGAATTCCTTTTCTATTCTATGCTGCAGGTGCTTGGTAAAAATAAAAACACAGTCTGTGGTATTTTTTTGTTATGTGTGAAATCAAAGCGACCGCATTTATTGAGTTATGAGCAATTTGTTTGCTTCAGGGCCTTTTGATGTTAAATGGCTTAAAACGAAAAACAGTTAACATTATTTGATACAGGACACACTAAAATTAAATATTAAACAAACCCTGACAAATCAATATATTTTTTATATATTGCAGCGAATATACGATTATATATGTGAAGCATTATATGCATGAATATTTGGTTCAGTTCGAAAGTAAAAATGAAACTATATTATTTGGCCTTGGTCATCGTTATAATCATCGCACACCGTGGGGCCAAGTGTCCCAATGGTAAGGAGTGGAATAACATATCAAAAAAATGTATAAAATATTATTTGGGCACATAATCACGTAGTGGCCACATTTCGCCTCGAAATGATAATAAAATGTAATAAACACAAGAAACGCATTTATAACTGAATACAAAAAGGTGCGAGTCGACTATTAAGCGGAATGACAACTAATTTTTGGGTTAATCCACACAACAAAGCAACAGAGCACAACTCTCATTTATAACATTTAAAGACAAAAAGCATAAACACATAAAAAGGGCCACAAAATAGAATGAACAACATGAAAAATTAAACGCCATTTTGTGATGCCCGGAAAGTGCCAACGGGTTTTCCTTTTTTTTTGTTTTTTTATAATATTACAGACGATGTCCTTGATAGTGTATGAAGCAACCTAACGGTATAAATGTTGCCAACTTGTCACAGCGCAGCGCATTCTACGGCTTTGTCCTTACGATTAATCCTTTGTCAGAGACGATAAAGTGTTCAATACGCCGTCCTCGGCCGATTCTTATAAATACAAATGGTGCGTTATTAGGACCCTCAGTTGTCTCTCCATCAAAAGTTATATGAACTTCGAGCGGACAGCAAATGGAGGAAGAAAAAAGCAAAAGGTTCACTTCTTTTTTGGCCAAGACTCACTGGAATTTCTCATCGGAATCTTGATTACCGACAGTATAAATTGTGTGTCGCCGGCACGACTTTAAGTTTTCTTCATAAACGAAAACCACCACAAAATAGGACTTTCTTGTGGAATGTTCAAGAGTGTTTCGCTGTGGGCTGCTGCACTGCGACACGCAATGTCAAATCCTTATGAAATTCAATCAAAACCTCAAGTTCTGAAGGTGTAGTATCCTTATTAAATTGGTCGAAATCGCGTTAAAATCCATTTTAGGAATCGATTTACTTCACTCCACTGGCATTTATTGTTGCATAAAAAATAGACATTAATAAAAATAAATGTATGTAAACAACAAAAATAAACGTCCCGTCTGTCAAAATATGCAGCAATAAAATTGTACAACATCACGTATACACAATCAATTGTAAATGGCCGACGCAGACATTGGCGCAACAAATTCAAATTTATTCATTTTAGTTTTATTATTATTATTATTTGAATACTTCCGCCATGCTTCAGCCATGCGCAAATTAAACAATAGACCGCGGCAAGCTGTGGCTAGGTGAGAGTAACGATAATTACTGCCATGTGGCACTACCAACTGGCCAGCCCATTGATCTCGTGCATATTTAAGAAAAAAACTGAAAAAATCAGCAAACTTAATTAAATAACATTCATTATAACTATGCGGTTGTAATGGTTGTTATTCGAAGCAATTCACAAGGAGGCAGGAAGTTGGAACGGAAGGTCAGTTTGTCGTAGTTGTCTGCAAACTCCACCTAACACTTTTAGGCCGAAAGGCCAACAGCTTATATGTCTCTCTTCAATTATTTCTCGGTTTTAGAAAATTGCCAAAGCAAATTGTGCAATTAACCCGTAGCTATATCGAATGAGGCAAAATAATTTATGTTATAGTTCAACATTTTGCATAAGGCACTTAGTTCTAAAAGCAATCAAAATGAAGCAACTTCTTCAAGTTATCAATTTATTCCTACTGCTCGTCCTGGTAACGAGCCAAAAGGAAGACGAGCCCAAAAAATGTCCACGTCAGTAGAAAATATTTAATTTTATTTAATTAATCAAACAACTTTTTGCTTGCCGTTCTCTAAATAGCTGGCCAGGAGCTGTTAGGTAAGAGTTGCGTAAAATTTCGCATTCTTGTATCTGGTAACAAGGAGTCTTTGACCAAGGTAAATGGAGAAAATAAGCATGTCTGCTTAGAGGGTTTCATTTGGCTAGAAAGTAAAAACGCTTGCGCAAACAAACCTAGAGTTTGTACAGATGAGCTCTGTAAATCGAATACAAGCTCCGCAGTTCCAAAGGAATGTCCACCGACCCGCCGGTGGAACAAAGAGCTCCAAAAGTGTGTACCCAAGAAATTAGTAACGGCCTTTGGGAACACAACTGCAAAAGCGAATGCCAATAAAACAACATCAGGGACCAAAAAGAAAGAAGTAGTGGCACGTGCACGTCATGTGGGCCAGTTGCTGGAGCAACCGATAGTTACTAATATGTGAAAAATATATTTTGTATCAAGCACGAATTAAACTATAAAATAGGGTATAATAAAAAGTTAACTGCAATACCGAAGAACATTGGTCATTAATTTGGTTTACGTGATAAACCACAGCCTGGCCTTAATATTCGGTCTCTGCAGCTGCTTTCTATATCTATCAATGCCGGATAATTGGTTCATCTTGTTTTGTGAATTTGTAAATAATTTATTTATACATTTTAGAACTTTGCCTATTCAGAATATTGTTTTGTCAGCAACTGAAAACAAATTTTGCAAAAACATTTAAAAATATTCAAAAAAAGTTGATGAACTATTGTGACAAGTTTTGGTATGTTTTTTTAAGGCTCATGATGTGATGTCGGGCTTGGTAGAAAGCAGAAGTAGGCTTTCAAAACTGTACCGATTTTTGGCATTGAACTTAAATGATTTCATATTAACGTATTGGACTTAAGCTATTGTTTTTTTATAATTCAGCTAAGAATGTGATTTACTTAAAGTTTGGTTGTAATAAAATATCACCAAAAGAAATAAATAAACTTGTAATTGGCCTTGGATGTCAGCTTAAGCCTTGCATCAACTGCTACAAGAAATGTGCAAAGAAGAAATGTCAGGATTAAAACTTAACTGAAAGAAAAAAATAACAAGACACGAAAAAATAGTTATCTTGGGGGCTGCCTAAGATTGTATATACTTGCAGATTTGTATATATTTATATATTATATATTTGTGTATCCAGCAAAACAAAAGCTAAATCATTTGCCAAGTAAATTAATCATAAATGGTCAGATTTCTGTTAGATATCTTACCATTAAGCTCGTATTTAAGAATGAAAGTAGAGTTGTAATTTTGTGAATTTGATTCGTTGGTTAAGATAACTTGTCCTCTGTCGCACACATATTTAGTATACCCTTCTTATCCAAGCCAATGGGTATAGCATATATATAAGCTAAATCAAAAAGTTCAAAATACTCATGCTTATATAAAATGTAGCCGCGGGCACTGCTGACGGGTGGGCAACATAATGAACGAACGTGGGGCAAATTGTTTGCGAGGCAAAGTGTCATGGCAGTTGGCCAACAAATTTCGTATACGCCACGCTCGCCGCTAGCAAGCCAGTGTCAACTGAACTGCGACAAGCGGGACGCTCAAAAAGACAGCCAAAGGACAGCTGTCGTCCATGGTGCGGCCAAAACAAATGAAGTTGAATTGCGCAATTGCAGCGAGTGCCCGAATTGCAATTGTCGCTAGCCTACAATAATCACTCGAGCGCGTTCCACAAAATACTTTCTACCGAAATACGCCCACATTTCGGGGAATGGTTGTCAATAATGAATGAGTGCCCTTTGTTGGTTTCGGTCTCAGTTACCAGTGAGAGCTTCCAGGAACCCGTAATCAATAAGGACAACTTGCATTTGCCATTTTAATGCGCTCAAGTGCGCCGTTTACAGTTAAACGGATCGCAGCCCCCTTCCCCCTCCCACCACTCTTCAAAAATGGTGTCCTTGTAAGCTTACGAGTGTGTGTGTTTGTCTGTGCATGCGTCTGTGTCGGCGCACTCGTTGGCATATTTTGCGGTTAAAATCCACACAAAAGGTGTGAAAAGCAGCAGCCGGCGTGCGGCTCTTTTGATTGGATGCTGTTGCTTATTTGGCACGGATTTCATTTGCCTTCCGTTCGCCCCACCCAGCATCAGCTGAAAAGTGGTTTTTAGAAATTGAAAGTTGATGTGTGTTGCAACTGCAAATGTGCGATAAATGTAGAGTGCAGCTGCCATTGAGAGCTACGAAACAGGTAAATGACAGCGTGAATATCCCACATACACACGGCCATTTAAAGGTCTAAATAGCTGTTAAAATGGAATATTTAAAAATAATTGAATAATGGTAAATTTATATGTGTATAGGGTATGTAAAGGGTGTTTTTAATATCACCGCCCTATTGTGCTAGAAATTCCTGGAAACTACAGAAACTAATCGAACCTCTTAGACTTAAGGCTCGTTTAAAGGGAAGACTGCCGTTTTCTGTAAGAAACCTGTCAAAGCTATCCTTGAGTTAAGTAGCACGTTTGTGTCACATTTTTGTTAACTGGGTCGTGCCAATTGCCCCAACATTTTCTGGCATATATGATAATATATATAGGGAAATTAATGTTATTGTATACGAAGTCTAATGTTAATATCTTACTCTTATCTCTTATCTGTACAACAACAGCTTCCACGAAAATAGAATTAAATATGCCCAAAGCACAAATATTTGTCAGAGCTGATCGCATATGAGGGGACGCATTGCTCACTTAGACACCGCTCTTTTGTGTATTCTATGAGCACCCCTACAACGTTTTGTTTTTAGGGCCTCATAAATTGCGCATACGCCAAGCTGCACACAGGCAAGCCAGACACAGGCAGATAGCTTACATTTTTTTTGTTGCTGCTTCTTCTTTTGTTTTTCGCGTGGAGACGGAAGCGCATAAATTTACCGTTGAAATATTTGTGAGCCGTGAAAAAGTCAGTGAAAAAATACAAAAAGTTTACTGAATGCCAAACGTGCACCGCCGTAGCACTTTGGCCTGTCCTCTGGTGGATAAAGAGGAGTGCTGGGAGCTCAAATTGACATGCAATTGCAATGGCATGCAAATTGCCGCTGCCTCGTGCCATTCTCCGTTCTGCTTCTTTTGACTGTGGCAAGTTCAATTTGGTAGTCACACCTACGTCATGTGGCACTTGTCCAATTTTGATACGTCCCCGCGGTCCTGTGCATTTTATGCACTTTTTGGTTTACTATATCCTGATGTAGGGTATTTTCATTGTGTCACCAAATGTGTAACTAATGAGTCGATACTCACTACAAAGAGTCGAAATAAGCTCTCTGTTTCTACTTAAACTAGTTTGTACGGATTCGGCCGGGTGGAATCTCCGTATCATATAGCTGCTATAGGCATGATAGCTCAAATATGAAGTTCTTGCTTAAGATATATTTACTCAATTCTTAACAAGTTTTTACAGGTAAGAAATAGGTAAGAAAAATCGCTTGACAAACGATTTCTGTGTGAAAAGCGGATCTTTCTTTCAGCATATCTTGACCAAAGTAAGCAGTTAACAACTTCGTTATTCTTGTAACATATCTGCAAGTCCGTATCGGATCGGATCGGATCGGACAATAGGAAAAGCCCGTCTGAAATAAAGATTTGTATAAGTTCACGTCCAAGCAAGGGAATTTGATCTTCGGCTTGCGAATGATATTCGTTATTTCTTAATCTTTTTTGGATTTTGCTTTTGCCGCCAGCCTTGTCCCTGGTGCCGCTTTGTTCGCTCACAACTTAAATATTTGAAAAATTGTCATTTATTGCCAAAATGCTGAGCAGTTTCTTAAAGCACTTTAACTTGGACGTCTGAGTGGCTTGTCTTGCCACAGTTTACATCTACAAAATGTTCACAGATGCCAGTGTTTTGTAGGTCAAGCACTGGCATTGCTGTCAGCCTCATTATGCTGCTTCACATTTTACCTTTCATCCCCCCAACATCATCATCATCATCATCGTCAGCCTCAGCATTTGGTTGTGCCATTGTCATAAAGGATCTAGTGGTAACAGTGGCCGTGAAGTTGGCGTCCCCACCTGGTTTTCTATCTCTGCCCATCCTTCACTCCCACACGAATGGCTTGTGTGGAGAGCACTACCTGTTCCCCGGCCCAGACAATTTGCAGATGCTGCTGTTGCTTCTGGCAGTGTTGCAACCCACTTAGCAGTGTCAAGTTGTGTCTTTTGTGCCATCAATAAAATTACGAATGATGCAGCTGCCATCAGCTATTCGGAACATGCAATGCGCTGGACCAACTTTTGCATATTTATAGCACTTGACTGCAAGTTGAGAAATTTTTCAGAGGGTTTTGTTAATATTCTTATTTATAAACCACAGCGTTGCTTTCAATTCAAATGTCAAATACAAAAGACCTTGGGTTGTGCACTGTAGTCGTAAGCGAGGAACCTGACGCCACTTCTTGGTCCACTGGGCAGGAGAAGCAGATACAAAATCGTTAAATGTTGGCCACGTGCATGAGAAGACGGATAATGTTAATTGACTCTAAATAAAAACAATTTTTGTTTGCATTTTCAGAAGTTTTATTTAGTTTTATTACTCAATTAAAATTTAGTTGGGACATTTGTTGATGTTTTTGTTTTTTAGCAGTTTTTTGGATGTATGTATATGCCTTCAGTGTTTTCTCAAATATTTTCATTAATATGTTTCTCTTATGCCTATTTACTTTGGTTTAATGTAGTTGGTATGCAGTTTAGTAGAATTTTACTTTGATCTCTAATATAATTATAATGCTCTTTATTTATTTAGTAGTAATTAATTTGAATTTAAACATTTATTTGTAGTTGCTTTTGTAACAATTTTTCTTTGCTGCAAATTTGCCAGCATTTAAATTAGGTTTTAGTTTTGTTTAAATTGTATTTTTATGTTTTACTTACGTTTTTTTTTTTCAATTTTCTATAATACTCGTACGTATGTATATAAATATTTTTTTGATAATATATTTTCAAGTTGACAAACTTGTAGTACACTTGGTAGAAAAACAAAAAATTGTGCCACCAGATTAGTTAAGAGTTCTTGTTTATCAGTTTAAGTAGCTCGCTGAAAAATTTGTTGACGTTTAGTAGCTGTTGTCGCTTGAGTACCCCTAATGTGCCTTGCGGGCTTATTCAATTTATAAACATTGAGTCAGTTACAAATTATGTTCTTTATTTTTATTATTTTTTTTAATATATTTTTTTATGTTTCCTTGTGTAGGTACAACAATACACTGCATTTGGTTTTGGCTTTGGCCAGACAAACCGACTAAGTTTCAAAAAATGTTTCAGCATTTTCCTTGGGTTTGTCTTCATTGTTTTGCCCTACAATAAATTTGGAACATCGTGCCATTTTAACATGCTTTGCAAATTGATTTTTAACACTGATTCGCCTTTAGTTTTGGGTTTTTTGTGTTATTAAGTTATGATTTACTTTATTAAATTTAAAATAAAATACAATATCTGCAACTGTAAATGAATTGAATCTTATTTTATGCAAATAAGGGCAAAGAAGCAAAAGAATTTGTTTTTTTTTTTATTATTATTTAATATTGATTAAAAATTATGAAACAGAGTAGGATGCATTTAAGACTACAGATTTTAGCTAATAATTGGCTCGGGTCGACTTCTGAGTGGAATTATATATATATAACTTGCAAATCATTCCATCTAGCAAATCCAACGGTAGCGCCAAAGCTGACTGCATATTAAGAAATTGATTTACTCTTTAACGGATCCCGAATTTATTTTAAAAGTACGCGAACGTAGCACAACTTAAGGGTCCGGCATAATAATTTCCTTTTAGACAATTGAAATATTGCTTATAAAATAATGAATTAATAATATGGTTACATAAATATCATTTTCATTTAATTAACATATTTACTAAAAAGTTTACAAGAGTGCAGGCTTTTTCGTAAGCTCTACACAGTTACATTTTACCAATTTTTTGTTTGTTTATTTAATACATTTTTTATTTTTGTTGACTGCTCTGCTGACAGCCGACACCAACAAATTCAAAAGCCTGCGCATTGCTCAGCTTATTCGGGATTGGTTTCCTTGCGTATCTTATGGCCACGGAAGGAGGCTTGGATTTTGGTGGCAGCCTTGTTTAGCTCCGGATCGGTCAGATCGATGTCCAGCTCCTCGGCCACCTTCTTGGTTATCTCCTGGATGTCTTCATCTTCGGGCACTTCCTTGTTGACCAGCTTGCGAGCCAAATGGCCCCGGAAAGTGGATTGAATCTTCAGCGCAGCATGGCACAACTCTGAATGTGAAAAAGATAAAAAAAAACGAATGCTGGGTTAGTTTTTGTTGTGCCATTTTTGGCCAATTGGCCAACGCCGCAAAAAAGGGGCAATGTTTAATTGAAAAGTTTGGCGCCTTTGCCTCTATTATACATAAGTGCTTTCTCTTGACCCTTTTAAGTGCAATATTAGTGCTTTTTCTTGTTCTTCCCAATTGAAACTTTGCCCTAAACTAAAACAATTTCAACTAGTTTTAATTAACTGCTGTTCATGTGGCGCCAAACAAGCACTACTAACTTTTCATTTCCATGCACATACATATACAGACATCAGTTGACCGTCACGTTAATATAAGTTTCTCTATTATAATTAAATTTATAATTAAATAATCAGCCAGGCTGTGACAGTTGAGTAGAAAAAACAAGCCGAAGATTGTTTGTAAATAGATAGTTAAAGCGGACAGACGTATATGGCTATATCGACTCGGCTGTTGATACTGTTCGATGCCGAACAGTCGTTTTGCAGAGTTTGTAATAACAAAACATTCCGCGGATTCGATATCCCTCCCGAGACTATTTACAAGCTCTGCCAACGAATTCTGTGATCTAGATTGTGTGTGTAAATTTGCGATGCGCATAAATTTTCCATACGCTTAAATAAAAGAGCGCAATCAGGACAAACAGCTCCCTATGCGCTCTTCAAAACTAGGCAGAGCCTGTTTAGATGCTGCTGCGACAGCTTCAACAGCGGTCAGGCTAATCACATTACGTATACGCACTGTGTCCGCTGGGGTTAACCAAAAGGAAACGAAAAGTGAAAGTCGTGCACTTGGGCGCATGTTGATTGCATATTTAATGCGCACCCAGTGCACAAGGGAGCCGCAACAAGGCGGAAACAGAATTAAACTTCATTTGTTATGCTCAGTTGCGGATGCATCTGAATGTGGTCACTATTTGGTCAGTCATGTTTTTCGTGCTGCACAACTTTGTAGCTTTGTAATTAGTTGAAGAACATGCAGAAGACCACAAATGAGCTTATTCTTTGCAGCCAATAAATTGTGTAAACGCAGCCGAGCAGCCGCCGCATATGAATTGCAACGCTTCAATTGCAGTTCAGTATGAAGTTAAGGTTTTGCATGTTACGTTCATATACAACAATTTGTCATTAAAAAGTAATTCGTTTAAAAGCGATTTTCTTAGAATTGGAGCTATGTTGGTTCTGCCCCAACAACATGTGGTATATGTCTCTTATATAATTTAAACCATAACCAGATCTAACTTATCCACAGCTTTTTACTAAATTTGGACAAAACTTGGCCTTAAATGGTCGAATGAAAATTGATTAGTAATACGTTATGTTCTATTTGATAACGAATTATATATCATTAATTAAGTACTTACTTATGTTTAAAAAAAATGTGTATATGTATCTTCTAAGGTCCTCAGCTCTAATAAGTTAATTAACACAACAAATTTATGGGAATTATTTGTGTTGATCCTTTGTGGATCTAACTGCATTTGTCAACTGTCAACTGCATTTAACCTATTTATTCATTTTATTTAGCGAGCAGACCAATAATTCAAGAGCAGACATTCGTGTCTCATTTGTGCATTCATTTCGTGTCTTATAAAATTCTTCTTGTCTAACGAAATGATTATAATCATTTTGTTGCTCAACTCAACTGTGAGCAAGGTTCTGTTGCTTCCTGCCAAGGTCTATAACTGCCGTTGCCTGCAATCTTTTGCTTATTTAAGTTTTTTTTTATATTTCGTAGCTTTTTTCGTTTATGCAAATGTTACAAAATTCTCATTTAAAATTTTCTGATTACATTTCAGCTGCTGTCGCTGCAGCAGTTGCTGCTTGTTGGAATTTCGTATTATGCTAAAAAAAGTGCATATATTTAGAAGGTTCTTCGGCTTCCAGGTCCTCAAGAGTTCGCACATGACAACGTTAAACGCAATTAGGCAGAAGTAAAAAGTAAATTGGCTACTTTGGCAATGTTAGTTTTGTATTTCTTGTTGCGTTAATGCGCTGAGCTGCTGCTCGCGACTAATTGTGGTCGGGTCCTGGCTGCTCGGCCAGTAAATGTTGTAAAATAGCACATACGCAGCAGCTGCAACGTGACTGGGGCTTGGGTCACGTGCCGCGTCGGCTGCGCTGCGCTTCTGTTTATTTATAAAATATTTAAAATAAGTACAAGACGTGCGAATAGCTCGTAATGCCAGCGGCCCTCCAACTGTGACATTTATAGGCCATCTGCAGGAGACGCACAGCGGGCGGCCCCACGTCTGTTGATGATCCACGTGTACGTGTGTGTGCTCTGTGAATATGCATGACATAAGCCCACGCATGTTTCTCGGAGTTATCTTAGTTTTATTTAAATAATCTTTTTTGCAGCTCAAGTTAGCTTTTAATTTATTGCTATGCAGATCAGTTGATGCTGCATAAAGTTTTTAGCGTAACTAGATTTACTCACATATTTCGTTTCGGTTGTCGTAATTGAGGCGAAACAGTTTTCGATAACAACCTGGAAGTAGCGTTTTCGTGCCTGTCATGCTTCGCTTAAGGATTTGACTATGGGCTTCTCTGCGCGGCTGTAACACATGTTCTGTATTTGCGCACGTACAGAGCGTGTCCTGTCACAGGACATGGCCAAAGCCAGCCAGCACTGCCAAAAATCTGTGCATGCACAAGTTGTGTCCTGCCGCCTCTCTTGTTGCTGCATATAAATTGAGTTTGCATTTGCCAGGCTACTGGATTTAGCACCTATCGCCTCTGCCTGTGACCAGAGACACGAAGCTTCTAGCTTGATGTTTGGCAAGAGATTTGCATGAGAAACGCCAGAACGGCCAATCGCTGTCTTAGACTGATTGACTGGCTACCTGCAAAGCTGAACGCTTTGCATGCTTATGCTTCTGGGCTGAAGTTGTTGTTAGTCGTGTTCGGCACTTGTCAGTGGTATTTTCTTTCAAATATTAATTACAACCAAGCAAAGGCCTGATATTGAAACACAACCGGCACGTAATCCATTCTCTGCCACTAAATCGATTTGGATTTGGAGAAATTGGGCATACAGGTAATTTTCCTTTGAGGAATTCTTGATAAGATTTATCTTTTTCATTTCTTGCTATCCATCATCACTCACTGTGAATCGTTCCTTGAAATACTATTTGACCATTTCATCTTCGTTTGGTCTCTGACTTGTCGATAGCAGGTCAGATAGCCAACATTACTTTCCTGACCTTGCCAACAATTTCTCTTTGAGATTCCATCAATGACTGCCCAATGCACAAAAGTAATCAATCATACGACGTGTATGTCTGAGTGTGCTGCGATTTGCACTCAATTTTTCAGCTGGAAGCTGACCTTCGCTGTGATGATTATTGGCATTATTGAGAGTGCTTACTGCTTACTGGCCAAGAGTACTGCAACATTAACAACAATACCAGCTTTTGGCCATGTGTTGTGTGGCATTCAACGCTCTTGACCCACATTCGCCAGCACAACAACAAACAATGCAAATTTATATTTTAAATATAACAATGCAAATGTGTGAAAGGCGCACACAAGAAGTTCGCAACGATATGTGTGTGTGTGTGTGTGTGAGTATGTGTGAGTGTGTATGTGGAAGTGTAGAAATGTCGCTGTGGATGCCATTAGTAAAAGTGAAAATCTGTGACGTGTTCAAAGTAATTGTGTCATATAAACAACAAGTACAGGCCCAGACACGTGCATAATGAGCAAATAATGAAGAGGGGAACATTTTGCATACCCGAACAACGAAGTACATATACACTTCTTTTGACAAACAGCACAAATAATATTTATTTAATATTTAAGTATTCAAGTTTCCATTTAAAACTTTTAGGCCGAGCTCTAATGACCTGTCGTATGCCCAAATAAATAATTATGCTTCATTGCAAGCCAGATCACAGAACGGCTATGCCCTTCCGCCAGAGTAAGTGTCCCGCATAATGACAAGCTAAGTGGCTGTGTAGCTGTCCTTCTCAGTCGTGTAGCACTTAATAATCGTCATCTGCGTCTCTGCGTGGCTCTGTCTGTCATTCTCAGGCAGCTGACATAATAACTTTGTTAAGTCTTTGTCATAAATCTGAATTTTAATTACTTTTGCCACACGTGCCCAAAAGCAACAACTACACGCACACACATCCGAGACTTGTAAACGAGTCCATTTGGAGCAGCTGCACTCCATAAAATGGCCTGGTTGACAGTTCCTTGACAGTGGCCAAAAACAATGAAACTCCATTATTTCAGGTGAAGAATTTCTAGAATATTCTAAAATATTTTAGCAATTTACAATGCATTTTTAAATAAATTCTAATTTTTAATTGAATAATAAAGTACGGAACTTTACCTTTTATCCATTTCCAATTTAAAGTTCAACAAAATGAAAACATATTTGAAATGGTTTTTTAATAAATCGACGACCGCATCAACATAGAACATCCATTAACGCGTGCAATATAAATCTTAATTGATTGATGGATACCATACACAGCACTCTATTTAATTGGAGTTTTGTACAATTGTAATAAAATATAGCTTTCGTGCCTACTGTGCACTCTTAAATAAAGGGGAAATGAGCGATGATAATAAGCTTGCCAAAAGACGCTGAAAAAACAAATTGTTTGCTAAAGTTTTTGTAACCTAACTCGTGAAACACAGAATGCTGCGTACCGTGACCTTTTTTTTACTTTGTCTAAGCCTTGCGGTGGCTCGCAGTTGGCAGTCTTTGGGCCAGCACAAGAACTAAGCCCGTTTTTCAATTTCCGTTGACTAAGTCTTGTGGTTAACCGAAGAGGATTCATTTCCATTACAAGTGCAGCCCGAAGTTTTGTATTGCTGCTGGGCCGAGCACAAAAACCTTTTTGGGCCATTGAGGTAAACAACGACAATTACGTATACGCACTGTGGCAAAGCAATTGAAATGGTACTGTTGGACAATTTTCATGATTTACATTAATGATTTGGCGTCTGGGGATGCAATCCCTCGGCCAGA